TTTCATGTAATAGATGTGGAAGTGACCATAGATGACATACTACTCTCGTCCAATCGAGAGTAACTTACTTTCGTAAAAAGTTGGCAAACAATGTAATGTAAATACCACCACAGACCATCATTCCTGAAAGTATTCCTGAATGCTTTTCTTTTTAGAACAGAGAAATCAAAAGCTTGTGTAGTAAGAGCTGCAAACCTTACAGTGGTTTTGGTATCTCTGGAGATAGCAATTTGCTCTGAGCATACAATTGAAACACAAATGGTCGTTCAAAGCGTTAGTGGTGGAAATTCATTACTTTATTACTTTTTTGTAACAATACTATCATACATGGAAGTTCATACAAAAATATATTTGAAGTTAGATCAAGCCTTAGTAGAAATTAGCACATGCCTGCTTGTTGCATTAAGTATCTTTATGTGTGTATTTAATTTTTGGTTTAAAAAAAAGAAAAAGATGCTGACTTCTGGTCGTAATTGTGAGATACCAGTTTCTTTGAAGATCAGTAAGTTGATCCTTTTTAAAATCTTTTAAAAAAACCCTTTTTGAAACTTTTTAAAAATTGCTTATACAGTAGAGACAGTGAGTGTTTTTTCACTTTCTGAAAAGGGTCACTGGAAAGAGATTAGAATTTTGTGTCATCTTTCCCATATGAAAAGTTAACTACCTTGTTATTTTTTGATGAAAGAAGGGTAGCTCTTTCACATTTACCCCAGAGTAAGGGCAAGTCCATAGGGATTGCTGTGGAGCAACTGATGTGCTGTCAGATCACATCCCAGCTGACCCTCAGGTACGTTGCTTGCCTGTCCATATGCATTGCCACATTGCAATAGGGCTTCCATGATGCCTTTGCCTGTGAGAAGTAAACCACTAAATAATTACACAGTTACGTGTTCAAGCATAAGCCATGCCATTATTCCTTGTGGCCATTCTTGGGCTGCCAGGTAACATTATCATCATCATGGAGTTAGCTATAGTGGTATCTTTCAGTAACATAGACTGATCCACTGCAGTTGGGTTTGAGAGCTTTCACAGTGTCCCTGAAAGACAGATTTGAGGAACCAGTGCCTTTCAGATGCACTTAGTGCTCTGCTGCTGATATGGGTGGCTTGCCTTTACGTCATCCTGACCAGTAGCTAGTAGAATTGCATACCCCAATTATCCTAATACTTCCATATGCTATTTATGAGTTACAAATTTTTATAGTCTGTAAGCACATATTTTATGTGGGGAAGTTTAGCTCTGGGACTTAAATGTTACTGTTGTTGGAAAATGTTGATTTTGCTTGAGGGTGGGTTAAGTCTTTGCTTGCTGAGTGCCTGAGCAGAAATTACCTGTCTCTGTTACCTGGTTGGTGATTTTGGCCCTATGCAAGGGTTAAAATTTCCAAAAAGTTGGAAGATGCGCACAGCACATCTAATGACAGGAAGGCTGAAGTTCTTCCCTGTTTGAACTGAGGACTGAGAAATCCATGAGGAGGGGAAGAGTCTTGGATCTGAGAAACCTTAAAGCTGGGTTTGGAAGTTTCTATGAATTTCCACATCTCAGTCTCTCTTTTGCGGAGAGCCTCTGTCTATAAGGTAGCTTTAGGGTGAGGTTCCTGGGGAGCTGTGAATGTTTTTGTCAGTCTGTACCTTGGGAGAGGAACTTCGAGGCCAGGAGGCAGATGATATGCCTAGGCTTCTTTTGAGTTTACTTGCAACGGCACTATGTGCAATTTGATTTTTTGTACATAAATTCTCCATTTGCCTTACTTTGATTTCTGTGAAGGGTGATTTCCATGTAATCAGCAAATACTTCGTAAGTTCTAAGGAAGCAGAAAGATGATGGGGCAAGTGCTTGAGCCCAGAGGGTCCTGTTGAATTTTGCTGTGAGATTATTGACTGACTGATTAAAAGCAAATCAAAGTATCCAGAAGAGATTGACTTGAATATGTGCATCACTGAGGGTCAATTTCTGTTCTTCATCAGTATTTCCCCTCCCCAAACTGAGTGCTGTAATTGCTTCAGGAGAAACATGAAACAAACCCCAATAATGGCAGGTATGTGTTTGAGACATTTTATTTTAGTTCATTTCACAGTTATTGAAGTATCAGAGTAGGAAATCTAATTAACTGAAGGTTTCAGGTGCACTTGAGTTTTGTTATATTACAGCAATTATGTGTATTTGTTTCGTTTTAAAATTAAAGACATAACTTGCTCATTAGACTACTATTAAACTGCGGTGCTAAGGGAAAATAATAATGTTACTTTTAAAAGTGGTGTCTGCTTTAAAAACATGGTGCTTTATATATGTGTGAAAGTAAATTATCATATTTGTACCCATAAATGCACAGTATGATGCTGGCCATCTCCTTGATTAGTGTTTTTATAAGATCCTTTTCTAATAGGGCAGTGTCCTGGAGAGTGCTGTAGTAATTTCAAATTGATGTAAATTTGTAAACTTAATATTTATTAATATCTCTCTTAACTTGCCAAGTTAAACTGATGCAGTCCAAATACGCTTTTATATTGATGTAAACGGAATAGCCAGGTAACTGTTTATAGTCTCATTTTTTCTACTGATTATTTGTGGTCAGCTGAGGTAATTTTTTGTAAATGTTAATATGTGGTCTTTTTTACATATATAGTGGAGTATTGTTTTTTTTTTTCTAGGATGTATGCAGTGTAATTAGTTTTTAATTGTGAACATTTTGAATTGGGATTCTAAATAGAAACCAAAGCATAATGCAGATAATCATAGAACTTCCTATATCTCATGGAGAAAAGCTATCTGTTATATTCAGAGCAGTAGTAAAAAGTCTAATAGCTGTTGTTTTGTTTTACTTTAGTTTTTTAAAAATATATGCTATTTTATATAAAGCTAGCATGGAAACAACTAACTGGGAGACATTATGTTGGAAATAATGTTTTCCTTCTTCATGCAGAGTGCACGGTGTTTGCGAATGTCACGCATGTGGGCAGGCTTAATATTTCTTTGATTTAGAGCAAGTTTGTGACTCCTGGCAAGAAAGAAATCAATTGCCAGTAGATGTGATGAGGTTTAGTTTGAAGATAATTGAAGTTGGCCTCTACAAATCCTTTCTATTAATTAATAGGAACAATTTGTTATGACAAGACCCCCCCCCTAATTAGCTGGCAGTTTATAACTGAGGAAGAACAGAAATTGACTTAAAACTTGGACACTTCAACACATTAAGTTAACGTAATTAAAATAAATGAGGACTGCATTTGGCACTCTTCATTTTAATTATGCGAAAGATATATTTGCATGTTGCTTTGTGCTCATTTGAGCATGTTGTATGTTAGTTCAGGCACTGCGGATATTATTCTGTCTATATTTTTAAAGTAGAAACACTATGTTCAGCAGAGCTTAAGTAATTCCCCAGAATTTCATGAATCTCTTCAATGATGGTAAGGCAGTGCTTAGTCTTTCTATGTTTGTGTTGGGAAATGAAAAAAATAAAAAAGAAGGTGAAAATTTCAGTTCCACATTTCTAATTTAACTATTTTGAGAAATATGTTTATTAAATCTTAATTAAAATATTTGATTTTGAATTTGTATAGTCATCTTAACCTGACTTTCTGGGAAATCTTGTTGGAGTAGTGTTTTGATGGAGGAGGAATATTACTACTTGGTGGAACTTCATGTACTCTTGCTTTCATATTTCTGCTGCCACAGCTTGTCTGTTTCTCTAATCTGTTCTATATAGTGACTGCACACTCTTTAAATAGTAGTATCAGAGGAAAAATGGAAATATTTAGTGTGGGAAGTACACAGAAATATGAAGCTAAACTAAAAAGGGGAAATGTACTTTGAAATTTGGCACACTAGTATTTTCCAGTAATGGGTCCTATCATTTGGGAAAATGTGTTGCGTTTATTGTGGTGCACAGTGTATTGAACGTGATTTCTTTAATTGTTTGCAGAGGTTTATAATGTATTAACGGAACTAAAAAATGGAAAGGAGCCGTTTGCAATGTATTTTGCATTTTTTACACAAAACTTGTCAGAAATCGTAATTTTGAAATGCAAAGCCTCAATGTTATATTTTTAAGTCTGGCTTGATTTCATTAGAGAACATGACTTTAGTGATTTGTGCTGGGAAGCGTTTGTGGACAGTTGAAGAGAGAATTGCTGTTCCCTCGCAGCAGTATGTGATCCCCTCGGTGGGTGGCTCCGCAGCTCTGCAGCAGCCGGTTGGCGTCCAGCCAGTCTGTGCACAGGCATCCCTCAACCTGCACGGCTGCAGGCCCTGCTCCTGCTGGAGGGGTGCGCGAGGGAGAGGAGGATGCTTGTTGGTCTGTCAGGTCATACTTACTGGGAAGGGGGAGGAACTGTTGGTGTGGATTGTATGGCGTGCCGGGAAGAATGGAGAGTACTGTTAGGAAGGCTTCTTCATGGTATTGCCCTGGGATAATTTGTGTAGGCCATTCAGATACAAAATCCATGGGAAAATGGGTTTCATTGTGATACTCGTTGTTAGTGAAAGTGTTAGCTTTCAAACAGAAAATACTGCTACCCGACTGGAAGAACAGTAATAATCTTAAAGTGTCGTGTACCACATCCAGTTTATTAACTGGGTTTCATTGCTTAAGTGTTAAGTATTAAGCATTGATATAATTACTGATGTTCTCAGTTTCTTCAGCGTTTCAACCTGAATGTGATAGATTATATATCAGGGTAATTGTTTCACAGTTTGAAACCATACAGAGACTGTGTAACAGTTTTTTTGTTTACTAGTGATTTTTTCTTTACATTCATAGGACTGGAAAGTAATACAGTGAGAATCGTAATTTCTAAAAATTCTGAACCACAGAATATACCCCTTCTGTGGAATTCTGGAAAGGAATTCCGGAAGCTACAAAGATTTAAATTCTGCTTACTGAAAACACTGCAAAAAATATTTTTGCTCTGAGACTATACATTTTTATGTATCTTCAGTATTCTTACTTCTTTCCAGATGTTGATATATGAAATAGCATCTAAACTACTTATTTTCTTCTCTTCCAGGCTGCTGAATCAGGAATAATAAAAGTGAAAACAATAGCTGCACGGAGCACTGATATTTTGGCAGGTAATTATTTGCAATGCAATGGGAAAAATAAAATTGGGTTACAGATCAAAATGTTAAAAAGATTTCTCAGATATGTGTAATAATCCTACATGCCTTTTAGTGTGTGCTGTATCAGTGATGCTTTACTTTTGGGCACCTAGCAAAAAATCCAGTAGCATGAGAATTCTTTAATACTACTTCTGTTTCATGTTAGTGCTATACTGATGCAGAGGAAGGTCTCCATTTTCAGTTGTGACTCTACAAAAGTCACCATCCACTTAGAAAAATAGCATAAAATGCTTAGATTCCAAATTCTCAATGTTTTATTCACTGTCTGCGTTCCCCACAGCTGTTGTTGAGTGCTCTGTGTGGAGTTCTGCAGTATGATCCTCATCTGTGTGTTTAGTATGAGAGTCTAGCTTTTGGAAACTTGTACCTGGCAGGCAAAAATCCATCTTAATCTGAGACAAGGTCATTCAATTTAAGATGTACCATTGCCTAGAGGGACAGGAGATATCTTGTGAGTTGCAGCTTTGTAAGTGCTTAGAATGGTATCTCTGCTTTATTAAATAGCATGTAAATTAATGGCTTCTTGCCAGTTGCTGGTAAAGCCTTTGGCCAGATTTGAATGTCCCTGTATTAATACTTGAATGTCTACCCCATCTGTAGTCAAAATCCTTAAAAAGCTACATTATTTGAAAGGTCCAAATAAAATAGATGTAAAACTATTTCTTGTTTTGAAGGATGTAATTCAGATATCGGTAAGGAGGCACTTTCTAGAATTATTTGAAGTAGCAGTCCCACCCCTCAATATTTCACTTTAATGCCTCTTTTTTATTTGTTTATTTTCTTTGTTTTTACTGCTGTCATGAATGCTGACATAAGTGGGAAAACTATGCCAGGTAATGTCAGCTATATCGAAATATGCAAATGAACAAGAGAAATCTCTAGTTAGCCATTTGGGAAGCTGTCAACATTCTTTGGCATATTACTATGTAAAGAACTCTGTATTTTAGAAAGCTAGTGTATAATCCTGCAAAATTCTTTTTATTTTGAAATGAAGATTAAAAAACAGAGATGTGAAAGATCATTGATTTTGGCCAATAGGCAGTCTTTACTTTTATCTTTTTGAGGGAACACTTTCTGGTAGTTGGTCAAATTTTGTAAGTACTTTTCCTTTGGAATGTTTAAACTAGAATGTAGTTAGTATTTATTTCATTCATCAAAAAAACTGCGCAGATTTGTTGTTATGAGGTTTGGAAAACCAGCAGGTCCTAAAAGTTATTTTGATTAGTTAATCTTTGCTAATAGAATAATAACTTTTTTCCCAGTAAGAAACTGCAAAACAGAGGGAAACATATACTTTGCCCGTACATTATCCTAACATTCCACAGTTTAAACATAATGCCATTAAACAGTCCCAATTCTTTATGGACCCTTGAATTTTTTGAGGTATCAGTTGTAACCTAATCTTGTAGGTAAGTTAATGTCGAGGACTCTGTTGTCTCCTATCCACTATTTAAAATTTTTTTGGAGGAAGATAGTAAGTATACTTTAGTAATAATAAAGCTGCAAAAGGCTACTGTAATTGTGAAGTCTAGTGAAGTAGATACTTTTTGACTGCTGGATGATTTAGGAACATCTACTAGACATTCTAGTAATCCAAATAAATATTTTGATCGGGATGTGATTTTTCTTTATATTTTGATGTAATTTCACTGAAATAGATTAAAACAATCGAATCAGATTGTTTTGAGTAAGTTGACCTGATGCTTTCTTGAAGCATAACACTGCGTAGGATTATAATTATTAGGAAAATAGATACAATCTTAAAACGACAAATGCACAGAGGTAATATTATGTCTGGTGAGATGCGTTTAACTTGCCAGAAATCTGAGGTCATTGATCTAACTTAACTTTTCTGAGAGAAAGAAAGAAGTTGAGCAGTTTCACAGTCTTCATTCTTGGCAGTCCGTACGTGCTTTATAATTTATTTATGAGGATTTGAGTAATTCCAAAAGAGAAGTCAGCTTGTGCTCTGTATCACAGGAGATAAACGTGAGAAATTATTTCTACATGGCTCTGAGATGTGCAATTCATACTTTTGTTTTAGAAGTTCTTTTAAAAAATTAGAATTATAATCTTGCTAATGGAATGAAGGAGTAAGTTCTACTTTCCCAAAACTTCTTTTTTGATGTGGTTCATATATTCTTACGTAATTTTGGTAGCAAAATGGAAGCAGACCTGGATATAAGAAAGTTTTTGTGCATTTTAAGACTGAAGCTAATATAATGATTGGTACCGAACCAGATCTATGAAACATTAATTTTTCAGCTTCATAAAGTAAAAATCCTTGTATAGATCCTGTTGTGAGATTATTGTTTTTAATTGATTGTAGGAAAAATACTGTAAAAGGTTTAAATTTTTCTTTGTCTTGTTATTTATTAACTCTCATGCCATTTTTGCCATTCAGAACTTTATCATGAATCTTATGTTAAGCATAACTGTTTTGTGGTATCTTTTTAAAAATTTTGCTTTCTTCTTTCTGCATGATGGTTAGAATTTAATGGCAATTCAGAAATTTATATGAATGAAGAAGCATTTGTGCCCATGTTAGAATGGGCTCTCTAGGCTCTATTGGCCATGCATCATAGGTGTTCATAGACTACAAAGGCAGCTTAGAGATCTGGCTCACATGTAGACACTGACAATTAAATGCCTAAATTACATGTTTTAATTAGGAACAAACTTCTGTTTTTTGATGAAGTAGCCAATGTTTTGTTTTTAATTTGAAAAATCATGAAGTGTTTCATAAATGAATGGTATTGGTGGATAAGGTTTATACTGTGTATTTTAAAAGCAGGTTTATTTGCTTCGTAGTTAAATTAAAAAAACCCTGTTGAATTCAAAGCAGATTGTTAAACAGGCAGTGAACCTATGTATTCATTCACATTTATGCTGACGTTTTAATTGTTTTTGATTAGGCATTTGGTGAAAGGTCAGCCTCTGTTAACTGGACATAGAGCCTGTACTGGCTCTGAAGAGGCTTATGAAACTATGGACTGTATATGTGTTAATATCACCCTGTAAGAACTATTACCTTACAAAAAGTTGGCATCTATAATTTATACTAGCCTATTCTTTCAATAGAAACTTGTTAGTCATGTTAGTTAGTGCTTCAGTTGAAAAATATCACTGAAATATATTTTTGTAGCTTTTACCTTACCTTGATGTGGTTTTTTTTTTCCAAATCAGTTGTAATGATACTTAATAATAAACGCTCTTGAGAGCCAAACTTCAAATTGCTCAATAGAAAAAATAAACTAGATCATGTTTGCATTTTTATGTGAGAATGTATTTTTTGTTTGTTTGTGGTAAGATCTGTGCTCTAAAAATGTGTGTGAAATTTTTTCATAAACACATTTCTCTTATTACACATAAACTAAAACAGAGTGTATGACATTCAGTGTAAGAACACGCGTTGAACTTTCATCTGTGAGGAAATTTTTAGTATCTGAAATGGCGATGAGCAGCTAAAATCTTAAAAGTTTGCATGAATCAACAACTACACCTGCAAACAGAAAAGCACTCATTGGTCAGAGTCATGCTTTCCTTTCATCTTTCAGAAATATTTTCTTCCTTTTTAATTTTATGAAGTTTATCTCAGATTTCTGGAATTACTTTTGTGGGGAAAAACTTCAAAATGTCAGTGTGGAATGTTGTATTCATTGTGAAGTTTTTTCCTCCTTAAAAAAAAAAAAAAAAGCTGTTCATGAAACTTGTGTTTTCTCCTGACAAAGCTTCATTTTAAGAAGCTGCCCTTCCTCACTAAAACACTGGTTGAAAAGTTTGCAGCCAGGTGTATGTACGCAGGATACAAATAGTCCAGTCTCTTTCTCCTCCTGTTTTGTCGGTGGCATTTTGCTATTCTCCTTTGTGCCGTGTGCTTTGATATGTCTGTCTGTGCCACCCTTTGTGTTGCTTTTGAATTCGGTGCCAAGGGGAAGGAAATCAGAAGGAGAAGGCTACCAGCCTGAGGCTGGTCACTGCTGCAAGGTCAGAAAGAGCTCTGGGATGGGCAGAACCTTATAGCTTCTTACTAACCAAATGGACTCTAAATGGCCGCTTTGGATTTGGAAAGAGAAAGTCACTTGAGCATGTAAGGGAGAAGGTGCTTGGGATTTGATCCTCAGCCAGGGTAATTGTGGAAGTGAGCTGTGGCAGCCCAGTGTCTGTCTTCGCTTGACTTTTCCCTGTGGTGCAAGAGTAAATCCCAAATTTCCAAGGCTGGAGGTTGCTTTTTGTTAATAGGTATGATTAACAAATTTTGCATTGTATTCTTCAAAGTATTACACATTGACTGCTTCCATTTCTCTTTTTGAAAGCATTGAAAGAGAACAGCTCAGAGGTAGTTCAGCCTTTTCTAATGGGTTGTGGAACAAAGGAACCAAAGATCACTCAGCTGTGTCTAGCAGCCATACAGAGGCTCATGTCCCATGAAGTTGTTTCAGAGGTAAGATCAATCTTTATATAAATACATAAATATTTCAATGTGAGAAATACAGGCCTCAAACTGAAGGTGAATGATTTTTTTTTTTTAGGAGGCTGTTTATAATACAATGAACATAGTCTGCAAAATATTTTACTCATACTGTTTTTAAAAAATTGTAATTTAAAAGGAAAGCTTTTTGACCATGAAAAAAGAAAAAGGAAAAAAGAGATGAGGAAACATTGGTAACTTCTAGAGGGAAATTCATGAAAATTCAAACCAGCTCATTTAGTTTGCATTCTCGCACTGCAGGAACAGAACATGTAATGGTCCTTGATAAATACAATTCTTAAGGTGGCATCCACAAAATTTACTCTGTGTGATATCATTATGTATTATGTTTTTGTTACATGTTACTTTTAAAAATAAGATAAAATGGATGCACATTTCCTGCAATGCTAAATGTCATGATATATTATGGTACTGCACATATTTTGTGTGTTAAGAAGCTGGTGAAAATGATACTGTCAAAATATACCTTCAGTTGTGCTTGCATAATGTAAAATTACACTGTTTTTTCTCTGATATGAATGAATTTTGAAGGTAAAATGTCTTTGTACTGTCTCTTCTGTATTTCCAAGTAGAAAATGAAATACGCATTTTAATTTGGACTACGCATTAAGAGATTTCTGCTGTGTCAATTCTTTAAAAATATTTTGGGAAGCTTGTAACAATGAAATTAGCTTTATGTTCTCAATGTAGTCCTATGGTATGGACAAACAGGCAAATTCAGTTATGACGTGCATTTATGAGACTGCTATTCGTACATGTGCACACATGATATACCAGTATGTAAAGATCTTAATTGTTGGCAAAAAATTATTTCTTTGTAGGCTGCAGCAGGAAACATTATTAATATGCTTTGGCAACTGATGGAAAATAGTCTTGAGGAACTTAAATTGCTTCAGACAGTTCTTGTACTTTTAACAACCAATACAGTTGTACATGATGAAGCGCTATCCAAGGTAAGATTTTGCTAGTGCCGACTATAGTACTTACAATATCCAAGAGGAAAAACAGGGAGAAATTTTACATATGAAGCATTTGGAAATAATGGAAGAGGAGGGGGCTTTTTTGATTCTGTTGTGTCCCTATTGTCTTTATATCTAAACTCTGAAGACAGGATTTCTTCTAGCTTCCTTTCAATTTGTTTTTCAATTCCTCCACAATCATACATTTCTGACTTAATGGGAAATTTAAATAAAAACATTGGGCCAATGCCTGTCCTTCTCATCTGCTAAATTTGTCATATGCATTTTTTCAAACTGAAATCAGAGCACATAGCACAGTGTAAGCTCTCACTAATAAAGCAAAAATTAGAAGAAGCTGCCTGCCACCCTGCTTTAAATCTCTTTCAGAAGCAGTCCAGTTATTGCTCTTTCAGTCAGAACTGAAATAACTTTATTGCATAATTTTAAACACGTACAATTTGGGATGTTTCAACTAAGGATTACGATCCATTTTAATCTTAAGTTACAAGATACTTCTCTTTGAAGGAGCAACATTGTTTACCCATCTGTGAATTGTGAAGTTCTGTTTAAAGTTAAGTTCCTCTTCTAGATTACATTTTATAATTTTTTTCTCTTTAACTTAAGAAAGATTTTTTGTTTTTAAACAAATCATTCTATATTGCTGTCTTTATTATGCTCTGCCTTCAGTGTATTGGTTTAAGATCAGAGCGTTGTTTCGGGTTTGTTTTTTTTTTTGAGAGAGAGAGAGAATAGAATTGAAGAATATTTTTGAAGGCATTCTGTTCTAGTTTTCAGTTTTTCTTTGCTTCTGCTTTTAGTGAAATAGCTTCCTAGCTGTTTAAATGTGTGGATATTAAAATCACTATTAATCTACCTAACCAAGGGAAGGAAAAACATGAAAGGAAAACGAAGCTAAGTTACAAAGGTCTGCTGAAGGCAGGAAGATAATGGAAAATTTATAAAACCTATAAATGGCAGAATAGAAACTTGCTAAGGATTGAATGGTTTGTCACTAGGTTCTTTTTTGACTTGAGTAGTCAAATTATGTCAAAGGCTCTTCAGCACTATCTTGTTTCTTTTGTTCTAAGTAACGCTCATTTTCCAAACGAGGTACTATGTTCTCCGGCAGAAACATGAATTTTGAAGAAGATGGAAATACTTTAGAAAGTGGTATTGTCAGTCATTAACCGGGTAGCAGATGTTCTTTAACAGCCTGCAATGTTGTTTTATGTCAAGTTTGAATCTAGGCTCTAGAAAGAGACAGTTGCTGTTTAAGTCCACCATACCTTTCCCTTCTGCTTCTCATCACTTCCCTCATTTATTCTTCTTCCCCTGCCTCCATATACCCTCTCTCTCTCTCTCTCTCTCTCTTCCCCCCCCTTGTTGTTAGGTTCTGGGTATCTACATCCTATTTCACTTACTTTTTTGTGTATGTCTTCCAAACACATTTTTCAACATCCTTTATTTGTTCATCTCTCTAATGTCTAGAAACTTTCTACTTTTGGACACCAGCCACAAGAGCATGTGGGCACAGCAGTGTCAAATGAGTAGGGAAGGTCTTTCCCAGCATGTCTTTCTCTTGTCTTGTATCCTGATCCAGAAGCATGCTCACATAATACAATTACTGGACAATCTAATTGCTGTCCTTCTAACAATTTCCTTAGTGCATGTTAAAATCTAGTACATTTAGAAACATATAGTCTAATTCAGGCAGGCTCTGACAGGGATAAGAAAAAAACATTCCTGACAGAGCAATATCCTGTAAAATTTCTTGGTGTTGTCCAAGGCCTGAAATTACTAGAGTTTCTCAATTAACCAAATATAAGCGTTACTTGGGATGGGTAAAATGGTGCAATGGTTTGTTTGGTTTTTTCCCCCCAAGATTCTTTTGACAAATATCTGAAAGTTGGGGGGTTTTTGGTTTTGTTTTTGTTTTTGTTTTCTCCTGTTGAAAGGCTCTTGGAGAAAATCAGCTTGAGCCAGACATATATTGCATATTCATGGTTCAGCTTGACTGATTTAAATTAAGAAAATTACTAGTAAACCACCTTGAAAAGCCGCTTAATACAGGCACTGCTGTTAGATTAACCTAGAGTATCATACAGTATCTTCTGAATGTCCAGAGGTATACGATTGTGTTGTAAAATTTCAAACTAACACGGGGATACTATCTGAGCAGAGTCTGCAAATCATTTACAAGCAAAAGAAGCAAAAGAAAATTCTGAATCTTAGAGCAGGTAGTGTTATGGCCGGGTGTGGTTGAGGTTCATGCAAGTGCAAGAACACAGAATAAGGACAAACGAACAAGAAATACACGTTTCACTACATATACAGATGTTAATTTTCAAAATTCATTATAAAATAAGTAAGTAAGTAAGTATTAAATTATGTGTTAGAGGAAATACGAAAGCCAATGGGAAACAGTATTCAGGTCACTGCCAGCACAATGACACATTAAATTACACAGCTTAGAGAGGAATAATAGCAGTTGAGGCAACATAGTTGTGAAAGTATTGTGATTTAATGTAGGAGAGGAATGGCATTTTAGCTTTGGAGTTGACTGACCTTTCTGTGATTAATCCTATAATCCTAATGTCCTTTTGACATTAATATACATACAAGGTGTTTTATGTGGTTGATTACTGTGTACTCTCTGTATGATGATTGTAGTTTTATTGGCACATCGTAATGTCTTCAGTTAATACTACTTCTAGATTACCTTTGGGGAGGATTACTGAAGAGGTTTTTGGCTAGGGTAATCCATAAAACTTATTCTGGTTCCTCAAATTTAAAATTATTAAAACAATTTTTTTTTTCAGGCAACCTTTTGACAAACTGTAGTGGAAAACATTCCTCAAGCAGCTATCTTGACTCTTAGCTAAAAGATGAAAATATATTGTTGTAAGGTGATTTTTTTTTTTCTTCCCCCCTTTTAGGCAATTGTACTTTGTTTTCGATTGCACTTCACAAAAGATAATATCACAAATAACACTGCGGCAGCTACAGTGCGGCAGGTAGTTACTGTTGTATTTGAGAGAGTGGTTGCTGAAGATGAACGATACAAAGGTGGGCATACTTCTTGCTCTGCTTGCTTGTATTAACCTGTTTTTTGGACACACATCAAATGTTTATCTTTTTTCAGATAAAGAAGTAGTAAAAAGTCTGTAAACGTTTTTAAAAAAAAAAAAATCACAGACATTATTCATTTTTACTGTCTTTTATACATTTACTTGTATTCAAAGGAGATGAAATCCTTAGCCATTGCATCAGTCCAAGCCAGTACAGCAATATATAAAACCTAGATTTTTTTTTAAGCTGTGAGAACTGGTCTTCAGGTTAGTATTGTGAAGGAATTTGAGGTGAGGGTGTCATTTAAGATGAAGGTAACTTAGATTACTGAGTGGGAAATACGAGGCAGTAGCAGTTTTGAAGAGAACATTTATTGGAAAGAAGTGCTTGGTGTTGATGATCTTTGGTATTCAGTCTAACATTTATTTCTGTAGACATGGTAAATTGCAGAAGAATTACCTGGCCGTTCTCCTAGAATCTTTTTGTAAGAACGCTTAATGTGTACTTGATTTCAACAGTTCCTTCGTTCACAAAACTGTTTTTTGTTTTTACACAGATACTATGGACCAGCCAGTTGCAGTTCAAGGAAATAGTAACAGAAGATCTGTCAGTACACTGAAGCCATGTGCTAAAGATGCATATATGCTTTTTCAGGTAGTTGGGGAGCATATATTTTACATTTGAAGTTATCATTGGGTGTCTACATCTCTGTAAGAAACTTCCAAAAATTTGCTGTTGGCATATTGACAAGGTCCTTAACTAGAGCTTCCGTCTTTCTTATGTGCATTTATTGTAATTGGCAATGATACGCTGTATCCCAGGGGAATGATTGGAAAATGAAGACAAAGTGGCCTAGGAAAATGTTTTACTATAAATCTTAAATAATAGCTAAGCATGCATGTCTACATTAAATTCGAGATTGTTTTTTCCATGAGACAAACACTGCTACTATAGTTCAGTCTTGCTTCTTGCGTTTGGTATTGTATATTAATGTCGAGTATGTAATGAAAAGTAGTAGTTGTATTCATCACACCAATAAAAAATGTTCTTGACTTAGCAAATTCGCTGGTCTTGAGATATTTTTGAGGGCAGGAATGAACACAATTGCTACAAGGATACGAGCAAAGTTTAAAATTTCTTTTAAAAAGTTTTTTGCTTAATAATTTATGTAAAAGAAGTATTTGAGGAAAAAATTATGTTGAAATTGGAAAATTACTCATTACAGAGGAGGGAGAGAGCGTAGATTTTGTTGTAGACTCAGAAAACTTACGCCGGTACAGGACTGTGCAGAGAATGTAAATGTTGTTGTATTTCTTTTTAAGGATCTTTGTCAGTTAGTCAATGCTGATGCTCCCTACTGGCTCGTGGGTATGACAGAAATGACCCGGACATTTGGCCTTGAACTTCTTGAGTCAGTCCTCAATGACTTTCCACAAGTGTTTTTACAAGTAAGTAGTTCTTGGAGGGAAAATAGGAAGACTTTTTTTCACATGTGTAGTAAAATTTACTTCATTAATTCCTCTTTAGTTTAGCAAGAGTACTGCTTTTCAAAAAGACTTCTAGTTTTTATAATTTGGGTTTTTATGACAGAAAAGTACTGTGTGCTTTTTGTCCACTTTTTTCCTATTTCCATACACTTTATTTGTGTTTGTGCATTTTGTAGAGCATGTTGTACTCTGTTTCACTTTTTGTTTTGCCATTTATATCTCCTCCAAAGATGCAGTTTCTTATCTCGCATGATTCTATGACAGCTCTGTAACTTAGTTTGTGGCATTGTTATTTCTACAAAAACATTATCTTCACCCCACTTGCAAAGCAAAAAACTCTGAATTGTGTGGATCTACTCTATATCAATGCACCATGATCTTACAGTAACACATTTTTGCAGACAGTAGCTAAATTAAAAAATTAAATATATAATGAATGATGTATTAGCAGCCTATTTCAATTTGCAAAATACAAGAAGAGGGTTTCCTGGTATGAACCCGACCATGTCATTTCATCATGCTTTTTGGTAGCTTTACAATGGTGTTCTTCCTTTTCATTTCCTAAGCTTGTAATTTATACCAAGATTTACATGACTTCAGAGTGCTTGATTGTAACAGTAAATGTAAATAAGATGCATAATCAGAGCTAGTGGTAGCAATTAAATAATATCTGCTTATAATTTGTTCTGTTTTCTTTTTCAGCATCAGGAATTCAGTTTTCTTCTTAAAGAAAGGGTATGCCCTCTTGTTATAAAGCTCTTCTCCCCAAATATCAAATTCAGGCAAGGTTCCAGCACATCATCTTCCCCAGCACCAGTGGAGAAACCATACTTCCCGATCTGTATGCGTTTGCTGAGAGTAGTTTCTGTTTTGATTAAGCAGTTTTACAGTTTGCTGGTAAGAATATGTTCAAATTTTCTTCGTGCAATTCTGTTTTTCTGTGTATGTGCCAGTACTGTAATCAGTAATAGTATTAATTAGTTCTTGGGAACAGTTGATGTATACTGAGGGAAGAAAAGTCTAAATATTCTTTTCTTCTTATGTGTATTTGTATTTACGTGTATTCTATATGTATGGTTTTATTAAACATGGGCTTGTATACATTCTCAGAATAGATGAGCTGTTGTCTTTTCTGTACTTGACTGCCTTTCAGTTAAGGTTTTGGGAACCTTTTGATCTTCTTACGTTGTTTGCCTGGCTTTAGATAATGTTATTTACTGTGCCTTGTTAATAATTGCTAAGACGCTTTTGACTTGTGTGCTAAAGCTGTTGACAGAATGTGCATAAAAAACACATGTTCAGCTGTTCTTACCTCCCGAATTTTAGATATTTGCTGAAAAAGATTTTTTTTCTGTTTCATTTTTTTACTGTAGCACATGTAAGAACTTTACTGCAATGTCTGTGAGGAATTTAACTCCTTCAATACAATTGCGTATGTGGTGTTAGCTTGGCAAAAATATGATTATTACGTATGGTTTTTATATAATTTGGAGTAAATGCTTGTGGAAGGGTTTTTTTAGATCCTGTGCAAAACTTGCTGGCATAGGACTCCTAAGATGAAACAAGTTTTTTGGAGAAAATATTTTGTATGAGACTTTTTCTTTTAATTTAATGGTTATAAACTATATCTTTTAGGTAACAGAATGTGAAATCTTTCTGTCATTGCTGGTTAAGTTTCTGGATGCAGACAAACCACAGTGGCTAAGAGCTGTTGCAGTAGAATCTATTCACAGGCTTTGTGTGCAGCCTCAGCTATTAAGGTATTAAATATATTGAGTTTCACTTTTACATAAAATTTAAGAAATCTTTTTGGTGGAAAATGCTTCCTAAAACATTATAAATATGTAGAAACTTAAATGCAATAAACTCTTCAAGATAATTTTTTATAAAGCATTAGGCAATACTTATTATCCAGGAAGAGCTGAACTATAGTTATTTGAGTATTCCAAACCCTCTCTGTCTTACCAGTGTCAATTTACCTAAAACTAAAGTTTATTATTCACCTAAATACTTGCAGTTAAGATGTGCTTTTAGTCTACAGTTTGGAGGGGAGGAAGTTGCTGTTAAAAGAAGCTTTTAGTTCCTAATTTGTCAAATACTTACTATATTTTATAAAATACTTTACAGGTCCTTTTGTCAATCGTATGATATGAAGCAACATTCCACTAAAGTTTTCCGTGATATTGTGAATGCACTGGGGTCCTTCATCCAGTCACTATTTCTTGTACCAAGCACAGGGAACACATCAGCGACACCAAGCCAAACTGGTAAAGCCTTGTCCTTACTATAATTTTCGTTTTCCAGCATTTTCTTGTGATAATAAATTCTGATTTGATTCAGTATATACATTTGGCTTGGTACAGTTCTGTACTTCCGTGTTCATTGAGGTGAAAAGCTTGCTTGAGACAAACCACTGTTTTCAGGTCTGGTACAACAGGTGATTTTATCTACCTGTATTGTGGGGAGGACATAGCCCTCAGTCAGCAGAGCAATGCTCCTGCATTTGCATCTGCTTCTACAGCGACCGAGCTCCTTGGTTCACAACTTTCTGAGGGAAATTCTGAGGCAATGATTTCTAATTTCTGACTATAACAAATTTGTCTGATTTCTGTCTCCTTGTGCGGGGACGTCACTTGTGGCAGTGTGCAACTGAAGTAGTAAGACAGTGTGTGTTTGCTTCCTCCTGGGACGCAATAGCTAATTCTTCTGGATGTTCAGGGACAAAACTGGACTGAGGAAGCCGAGAGGTAGAAAGAAAGATCTGTGTTTTACAGATGATCCTTGCTTTTTCTGTAAGCTGAAAACAGTGACTTACTGAGACTAAACTTGTCTTTTCTTGCAGCCAGGGTTTTGGCATTTCACTAGGTATATTTTTATTTCTGTAACAAGAATTGGTCCTCCTGTTAATGCCTTTGCAGGTGTTTACGTCCGAGTTAAGGCTCTCTGCTTCTTCCCATGGTTCTGGAAGCAGAGGCCTCAGCAACAAACAAAAATAATTTCTAAGGGTGTCTTTGACATGCCTTCTTAAAAGAGATAATAAGCAGATAATCAAAGAATAATTATTATCTATCATATCTACTGTTAAATTAATAAACATTAAAAAGTCTGGGTTTAGACTCACGCCTTCCAGGGTTCACTCATGAAGTCTGAATTCCAAGTTGGTGTTAACACTGAAAACGTGAAGAAATTTGTGTCAGTAGCTGTTGTTCAGTAGCTGTCTGTATGGAAGCTGATAGAGCACTTCTATTAGTATTATTTCTGGGTTGGTTTAGTCCACTTAAAGTAAATCAGAAAAGTACTTTTCATCGTGTAACATGCACATATGAGAAGCCATTCTAAATTACTCATTCTCCTGAAAACTTAAATTTTGCTTTCATATGAAACAGCACGGCAATAGGGTCATACTCTTCGCGCTGTCACTATTCCTCTGGCTTATTGTTCCGGTTTGTTTTCTCCTTTACCTTTTCACTTCTTTCTGCCTGCGTGTTTCTCATGTCTCTTTCTCATGCATTTCTCTTTCTGCCTCTTTTCTCCTATGGCCACGTCTAACACGCAAAGAGCAGATCAATGCGACCTAATTTTCGAACTGAGTCTTCTGATTATAACGATAATCCTGTGGTAGCAGGCTGTCTTATACACCTGTAGTTGGCTTTTAGCCTCAGTTTTGCAACAAAGTAGCTGTTTCATAGGAGAAGTTGAAAGCTGCATCTATCTAAGTTTTGTGTCACTTTTATTACACTGGTGTAATGTAAGCGTTTTTACCATTTTAAGGAGTTATGTTGATATAAAAATAGTTGTATATGTCTGACTGCTCAGTGGGATCACAGAAAATGACACCAGTGTAACTGTGTTTGTGTTAGTGGCAGTGTTTGGTTAACCATTTCTGTTTAGCAGTGTGATTTTGTTGTTTCAATCTGTTAAGCTTTACTGTGTTAAAGTGTATACATAGGCTTCTGTGTGTATTCATATTACCTAAATTAGTCATTTAATCTCTCTACATATTAAAAGCAAGCACACAAAATGGCAGTTGGTGCTGTGAGTCGCCTTCTTGGGGACTCTGCCCTTCTCTCCCCAGTGTCTGTACAGAGAGGGTCTGAACTTGTGGTACCTACTCCTAGTAAGTATAGACCTCCTTCTATATGTAGGAAGTGTACATATACAGAATTCCTTGTCCTTTTATCTGCTTTTTTTGGCTTCTTAAATTGGAACCAAAATTTGTTCCCTCCTAGCTGTTGGTTGGCATGTTGTCAGCTCTTCCCTGATGTGGTTTGTTTTCTTCTACCTTGGCACGGAACAGATTAAAACATTGCAGTTCTCTTTGGGTTTCTTCTTCTGGCTTTTGCATTTCTGAAATCTTTAAAGCTTGTGATGATCTTTGTTCTTGGAATGATTAACGTCTCTTTCCTACTACTGAGTTCTAGATGCAACTGTTCAAATAATCCTTAACTTTTAAATATCTGTCTGACTCTTCACTAAAATATATATTGTTTTAACAAGACCATGTAAGTTTAGTTGGTTCACAGAATGTTATGAATGCTGCTATACCTTTCACAGAAACATTTTATTCTGACTGAAAATAAAGCAGTTGGCATCAATCAACTGTACCTTTTAAACTAATTACTTTGCACATAAGATCATATTTTAGACAGCAGAGGGAGCTCAAAAATAGTTTTTTGTGTTAGTGGTGATTTTTATTATCAAGCAGGGCATCTCAGATTAATCCATGTATCTCAACTTAAAAATTAAATATAGAAAAAGGATATTCGCTGGTCACTAAAATTAGATTGGTTAATTTTACCACTTTATTTTTCTGAATAGGAAGCAATGCATCGGGGAATACTGGTTCAGCACAAACTAACCCAGGAGTGCTTGGAATGGGAGGAGGTGCAACTGTATTACCTGCCTTTGAGTACAGAGGCACTTGGATACCTATCCTGAATGTAACAGTACAAGGCAGTGCTAAAGCTACCTAGTAAGTACCTCTGTCTTTTTGAAAATGTATGTAACAAATATTTTTATTTCCAACTTGATGTTTTAAGGATTTTTTTATTAGTGAATATTGAGGTCTTCATTTCACTGGCGTTGAGGTATATTATGGATTTTCTTTTTGTCAGTGCCATGAGGTGTTCTGATTTTTCGCTGTTTTGTCTGAACGCTCTGGATTCTGATCCAAATATCCCCTATGGCTTTAGCATCTGTTGGGGTTGGTTTTTTTTTTTTCCCTACCATACTGTTGCTGTATTAACTCTTCACCTTTAGGCCTCACTACAGTATATAACAATTTTAGAATATCTTTTGCTTTGTGTAATGGCAAACATTAGGGGCATTAAGCAAATGGGACATCAGTGGGAGTGAAAAATAGCTTTCTTACACCAGTTTTACTGTATTTACAGTTTTTATTGAACAGGATATTGTGGTATATGGCCTGTATACGAAGGTTAGACTGTGAATGCTTCTTAGAATGACCAATTATTTTGTGATGACTTTGTATAATGGAGATCGTGTTATCAGTTTAGAGCTGTGAGTAGTACGTCACTTTCGAAATAGTGGAAGTTTTTTCATGTCAGTCATGACCACTGAGGATCAATCTCTTCCAAACTGGAAATTATTTGTACAGCCCATGAAATTTTGGCATACTAATACTCAATGAAATCAGCAAATAGCCTGGATCTCGATACTTTTTTAAGGTAGAAACTCCTTTACCTGCCCTTGAGGTGTAGAAGGACAAATTCATCCTCAGATTTCAGTAGTTCAACATGTATGTGTTGACCTGATTTTTTGTTCTAGCAGTGGCCATGAATGTTATTTTAGGTTACCTGACTGTTCTCAGGAAATGCAAATTTTTAACACAAGTGGATGAAAGCTAGTTCATGCTTTGGCCACTACAACCTCCTGCGTTTCTTCCTTTTCTTTTCTCTTGCTTTCTGTTCTTAACTGGCTCAAGAACACTGCAGCCGCCATCATAGTTTCCTATGCTGCTCTGAACTTGCTTGTGTCTTATCTTTGGATCCCTCCAGTGACTCCATGATTCCTTCTGAGTAATTTTTGCATTCTTTTTTCTTCTGTATAAAATTACAGAATTGTCGCTAGCATGTCTTGTCAGCAGTTTTTCTCGTATCTTGTACTTTTGTCTGTAGTCCCTGCATGTAAGGAGGTGACTAACTGTAACTGTAGATTTGGGTCACATCCTAGCATTGATTCTCTCCTACTGCCTCCATTAGATTTCAATACAATGGCCACATTTTATACTTTTACACAATGATTTAATTGGAGATATGAACTGTGAACAGAGCTAGCAGAGGTCTTTTTGCCAGTGTGGGCCTGTCTCTTCCCAGACCACTGTGCCTTGTCTTCCTCTTTACATGAGGAAGTAGGTGTTTTTAAGAGGAATAGACAAAGGCTATTCAAGATTTTTCATGGCCATTCCCACGTAACTGTAACAACTCACTTCATTTATTCAGTAGTTTGCTTTCCCGTATTTGAAAGTAAGAGCACATGACCTCTACCTCACAAGTACATTGTAACTATAAAACCCATTAATAATTTTAATTAGAGCCATATATATATACATACTTATTTGTAGCTAGAGGGTGAAATGTTGACCATTTGATTTGCCCCTGGATACCTAAGGCATCTTCAGGAAATTAGAGGTAATAACTGAAGTGTTACGTGGCTGGGAGAAGGAAAATCCTTTGTGCAGAAAAGAGTGGTGACACTACAGGATAAAAGTGTCTTTGGTATATTGTAGCTGGAATGCCTAGCCTTTTTAAGAGTAGTTTGTAGAGCAAATGATGAAATAGTGGTTGTTGGGGTGGCATGTAGTTTTTGTAACAGGCTGTCTCTCCTTGTGTAGACACTGCTGCTGTGGCAGCTACAATCTGTTTCCTGTTGGGTTTGTAGCTCAGCAGTTCTTTATGTGCTTTTAAGGTAAAATATGAAGAAAAATGGCAATGAGGCTGCAGTTCCAGCATAGTGATGTTTTAATCGCATGGTTTTCAGCAGTGAATCATGTAGGCATTTCCTCTTTGTACAAATAACTTGCATTGTTTATCTGTGCATGTAGGTGACGAATATTTAGTCATGTGTTATCTAGCTATGACAGGCTTTTTTGGTCATATGGATTCAAAGATAACAATAATGGAACATCTGACTTGTTCTCAATTCGTTATAACTATATTCACACTGTCACAACTTTCTGACCTATCTCCTCTATTGTTCCTATGTACTTGTGTTCTTCTGAATAGGTTCAGTTGCAGTGGCTTTAAGTAAAATAATGGTAAAAGTAGAGTAATTAATTCAGTGATGCTTGCTCATATGTGTTAATTTTTTTAAATATTTATTTGCAGATCTAAATACTGTACTCAGGGTTTGTACCCTTTCATTTACTGTTTTATTTAGTGACTCATTTATTCTTAATGACTTAATTAATCAGGAAGGTTATTTTCTTGAGTTGCTATAAATCTTGAAGGATCGTATTTGGGGCCTGTTTGTACTTAACATTCATTTGGAATCTTGTTTTTTATTATTGTTTTTAATCACAGTGGTACTGTTACACACTTACTTGTCATGCTTTCAATTTTTTAGTTTGGAAATGCTGGACAAGGTAGAGCCACCTACGATTCCTGAAGGCTATGCCATGTCAGTGGCATTTCACTGTTTACTGGATCTTGTCCGTGGTATCACTACCATGATTGAAGGAGAGTTGGGAGAGGCAGAAACAGTCAGTCAAACCACAACAGAGACAACTTCATTACCAGCACAGTCTTCGGGGCAGCAAGACTTGCAGTCTGTATCTGACCAATCAGAGAAAGAACTAGGTATATAAAATACAGCAGTTTTACATAAAGCAGCATTGAAATAGTTCATGCTTTGTTGCTTAAATTTATTGTTTCTAAATGGTATATAAAAACTTTTAATGAAGTGGTTTTCCGGGTTTTTTTGTAATGGAACAGCAGTAGTCTCTAAAAAAAATACTTGATGTACTGCTTCTGTCCTGTAGCACCTTAGCCATAGACTCTATACTGTTCTACATGTATGTATGTGGGATGTGAGGGAGAGATAACAGGCATTCTATTCTCCAGAAATACTGTTCTGCCTTCCTGTGTCCTTAATTCTGCTTAACACTAAGATCCAAGGTCACAAGAGACAGCCTGACTGAGAGAAATGTGGCAGTTACAACCACATTAAAAGAAAAATGTATTTCTGCTAACGAGAGAAAGATGTTTTAATGGAGAGATTTTAAGTAAGATGGAAGTAGTTAGGGAAGAACTCCTTTAGAAGCAGAAGTAATAGGAACTGAGGCTTGTATTTCTGTAGCATATGAGGAGTCTGTATATGTACATACAGAAAGACTTGGCTCTCAGGAGTGATTTTGGCTTGTGTAGCAGGAAGCTGAGACTCTAGTGCTGGAGTTTGTGCCGAGGCACGAAGGCAGCAGAAGAGGAAAGGGGTTTGTCCCGAGCGCTGCCCGCGGCCTCGGGAATGTAGAGCTCTCCATGGTGCTGCAGGCAGCCCCGGCTCGGCCCAGGCTCATGGCACCACGTGGTAGAGGGAGGGAGGTGTGGAAATGATACGGGCAGATTAATGGGTCTGTTAGACCTTTTTTTTTTTTTTTTTTTTTAAAAAATATTAAATTAACAAAAAAACTAGGAAGATTTATTTTAAATACCAGGGGAGAGTATTTTTCCTTCACTGCAAAATTTCAGTGAGTTTCTTGTCCCACACTTATGCACTTCTGAATGTTTATTTTTACAGACAAAGATTAAAAATAGTTATTTGTAAGATCTTTTTGGTGTAATTTAGAATAAGCATTGCCTTGGTGACATTTTTTACTTTAGCAATGTTACTTTAAATGTGACTGTTTAAATGGTACTGGTGTGAGTGTGTTTGTGTAAACACATGTATGTGTCTGTGTAAATGTACATATAAAAACACACTTTAAAAGACGCAGTAGTGAGCATTTTGTTTGTGATATAATTGAAAGTTATTAAGTAAAATACTGTGTTTCTGCTATAAACAAGTGTATGTATTTCTTTCAAGTTAGCAGAGCTGTCTGGGAAGAAATGGTGAATGCTTGTTGGTGTGGTCTTCTGGCTGCTTTATCCCTCCTACTTGATGCAAGGTATTTGGTCTTTCATTTCTCTTGATTTTTCTAAGATGACATTCCTAGCTATATTTTGAACTGACTTTGATGCCGGTCAAGTTGACAGTTGCATGAGAGAGTGCTGTTCATGGCACCTGAGCAGACAGGTTTGTGGGTTAGTGATGGTTAGACTGAGTGAGGATCTGTTAAGAGTAAATGACACAGAAGTCTCCAGAAGTCTAGCATCGACCTTTAATGTATTTCAATATAGAACAACTAATGACACTTTCAAAGGCTTGCATTTAAACTATTTAAATTATCTTTACTCCTTTTTGCTTTGACTGAATGTTTCAACCCATTGAAGTGATTCTACCCATGTCCTGATTACTGTTGATAAGAGACTAAACAATGTCTCAGTACTTGTTAGTACTATGCAGTCTTTGAAGTGGAAAAAGCTGTTTACTAGGTAATAACTTTGGTAACTTAATTGTCTCTTTCAAAGAGTCTTTAGTTATCAAACATCATTTTCTGAAATTAGTGTTAAATACCTCCTCATAGTCTCCTATGCTGGTTTTGGCTGGGATAGGGTTAAATTTCTTCCTAGTGCTGTGTTTTGGATTTAGTATGAGGAGAATGTTGATAACACACTGATGTTTTCAGTTGTTGCTAAGTGCCCTGCTAGTCCAAGGACAGCTCCCATGCCTACTGACTGAGCTAGGTACACAAGATGGGAGGGAACATAATCAGGACAGCCAGCCCAGCTGGCTAATGGGGTATTCCATACCATGTGACGTCATGCTCAGTATATGAATGGTAGGCGTGATCCAGGAAGTACCGATTGCTACTTGGTTATTGGTCAGCACGGGTGGTGAGCAATTGCATTGTGCATCACTCATTTTGTATATTCTATCATCATTATTATTATTTTCCCTTTTCTGTTCTATTAAACTGTCTTTATCTCAACCCATGAGTTTTTCTCACTCTTACCCTTCCGATTCTCTCCCCGTCCCACTGTGGGGTGTGGGGGGGAGTGAGTGAGCGGCTGCGTGGTATTTGGCTGCCTGCCAGGTTAAACCACGACATCTTCTTTGGCAAGTCATTTAGAACTAAAGACCAATTTTATAGGAAATGGTTCTGAAGAATTTTGTTGATCAATTATGCTTGCTCTTCAGTATTTATAATGTTGACAGGTTTAAAGTATATGTTCTCATTGCTTTCAGTTTTGGTTAGCTGCCTGCTTCTGTGTCATGGATTAATTCTTACTAAACGATGTGTACTCTTTCAGCACTGATGAAGCTGCCACTGAAAATATTCTGAAAGCAGAATTGACCATGGCTGCACTTTGTGGAAGACTGGGTCTTGTAACATCCAGAGATGCCTTTATCACTGCCATTTGCAAAGGATCCTTGCCTCCTCACTATGCCCTTACTGTATTAAACAGCACAACTACAGCTCTGTCCAGCAAATGTAAGTATATAGGTTATCCATAATTGTGTTTCCATGTATTGTCCTCTAAACCCAAGTTTTCTCAGGATGTGTTTGCAAAGATACGCAACTGTAGTATTTGGCTGTACTAAATTATGTCAGAATCCTCAGACAGAATCTAAACTGCCTGCTTTCCAGAACTGGTTAGTCTTGCAGTATCTGCTGGGTATCCTAAAACTTCCTGAATGCTTAGCATATGTCAGAAGTTCATATTCTAAGGAGATCTATCTATCATCCTAAAGGTCTGTTAGGATATGCAATTAAGACATTCAAATTCTGAAAAGGTCTCTGGGCAACTCAGATACCTAAAAGTTGGCTAGAACATCCTGCATTTGTGGTGTACTACAGTCTTTTCTACAGTTGTCTAGTGGTGGTAGTACTTACAGCATAAATGGAAGATCTTAAGTTCTGGGCTCTGTTCAGCTTACAGAAAGTTGAATTAATGCTTCTCACATCCTGAGGGAATGTTGTAATTCATGGGATATGCCAGTTGAGGATGTACTCTAATTTTTAAAATTAATCATTATGTATTGAGAAATGCAACTACCTGGAGAATATGCAGATAGATCTAACATTAGACCTCTTAATACAAAACAAAAATACCTTATTCTGGGAACAAGGACCAGCACCTTTACTCCAGCCCACAAGCTAAGTGTATTATTATATCGTAACTCTGTGAAGCAGTACGCGTGACTAAGCTACACGAATCTCTATGGAAATGAAGCAGTGAACTTAAGTTCTTTTACAGAGGTTACTCTTCTTTTTACAGGTGAGTTATAAAATGGGTGTCCTGAAGTCCTGTATTGGTAAAACATCACAACATAGCATTCACGATGCCTTCATTTTCTGAGTGCACTAGTACAATGGTAGCACACAGCGATACCATTTACACACAATTACCACAGATAACTAAGTTGAGACATAGTCTAATGCTCGTATCTTAGCACAAATATTTCAGTCTCGACATAAAATGTATTAATGTATTGCAAGCAATATCTAATAGTTAGTGAGAGGGAGTAATTGCTGGCTCATTTAACTCCATAAGGCAATGACATAATAATCTAAATATAACTAAAGGTCTCAAAGTGAGCTACCTTAAAGCTAATACTGTGAAAAAATTCTCTGGAGTGTGTTTGCCAGAAGGTGGTTGTTACTACAAGTACGTACTGGATTTTAAATTTAGATATTTTTCTTTTCAATTTTCCTCTAGCATATTCCATTCAGGGACAGAATGTTCAAATGATCAGTCCCTCAAGCGAGTCTCATCAGCAAGTTGTAGCAGTAGGGCAACCCTTAGCTCTTCAGCCACAGGGAACGGTAATGGTAAGTACAACTTGTAAGTGATCTCATCCTGCTTAACTGCTTCTTTTGGCATCTCAGTGTGTCTCAAAAACAGGCAACAGATAACCATCATTTTTAAGAATGCTGTTTATCTGAAATATTATCCTGAGCTTTTAATTTGGAACAGCCCTGGACAGCCAAGTTCTCTAACTGTAAAAGAAGACTTACTCTTGTTTTTTATCTGACTATTAGCTCAGCAGCTCCCATCCATTCCGTTTGAAAAACCCTAGGTCTCAGCTCTGTTATGTGCCTGTGTGTGAAGGTTCACTTATATGTTTTTTTTTAAGATAGACTCTGATTTTGTGGAGCAGATGCACTGAAAGCTGGAGTACTTGAACTTGTGTCTTTGATAATAATGTGAAGCTGGGGGGAGAGGGCAGTGATCAAATCGTATTCAACCCCAGCAAGATAAGACTGAGAGAAGAAGGAGAAATACTGAACTACTTCTCTAAAAAAGATACATTGCACCAGTGTAAACAAAATGTAGTCTCTAAGCTATTTAGTAAAAAATTTCAAGTTTCCTAGAAACACTATTATTGTAGAATAATAAAAATTGTGTGGTCACTTGGTTTTTGGTTTTTTTTTTTAGCTGACTTCCAAAAATATCCAGTGTATGAGGACGTTACTCAACTTAGCTCACTGCCATGGAGCCGTTCTTGGTACGTCGTGGCAACTTGTCCTGGCTACTCTTCAGGTATAATAGGAAATACTTATGCCTTGCTTTTATGCCTTGCTTTTTTGCCATAACTTGGTTTTGAGTTTTTATGTGAGCAACAGAAGAAGCTTTGATTCTACTCATGGTGTACTTTGAATTGCCTTCAGTAAGTACCGTAGCATTTCCCTTAAATTCTGTTTGGCTGGAAGGCTGCCGGCTAGTTCGAGTACAATGTTAGTTTCCTCTCTGCCTGAAAAGGCTTTTCTGCTGAAAATGGTCCTTTTGTATTTCAGCATCTTGTCTGGATTCTGGGACTGAAGCCTGGTGTTGGGGGTGCATTAAAACCTGGAAGAGCTGTAGAAGGGCCCAGCACAGTAAGCATGATTATTCATTTTACAGTTAGTGATTATGCAGTATTTTCTATTGCAATCTATAAGACACATTTCTGACTCTTTTTCAAGGTTCTGACTACAGCAGTTATGACTGATCTGCCAGTTATATCCAACATACTTTCAAGGCTTTTTGAAAGCTCACAGTAAGAAACCTTACCTTATAATTAAAATAATGTGTGTATATCAAACTTCGCAGTGTTTTGATAGCTGTTATTTTTCAGGTACCTTGACGATGTGTCTTTACATCACTTAATAAACGCCCTTTGCTCCTTGTCTCTGGAAGCCATGGATATGGCCTATGGAAACAATAAGGTATAAAAAGAGTTCTTTATTTTCTTTTTAGATATTTTTGTGAAACAGGCAGAAGACTTGTACATTAAGCCTTTAAGCTAACTATTTCTAATATTAAGACAGTAATACGTTTGATATTCTAGAGTAAAAAATAAATTATGAACTAGAGAATGTCTCGTTTATAATGGTTCATACAGTTACTATATTCTCTGAACATTCTCATTGTGTTCCTGCTATGTTTTTTGTTAACTAAGGAATGTCATGTGTTTGCATTAATCAGATTGTGGGTGGATAAAACTTTTAAAAGCCCTTGTAATTTCAGAGGTTAGGGATTCTGAATAACATAGTATATTCTGTGAGGTGCTCATTTTCATTTCAATTTTCTTTTATAATATACTTCAGAAAAAGCCTGACAATTTAGATATTAAAAACCCCCTGATAATTCGTATTTACTTGGGAAAATGATAGTATTCCTGTCAGCCTCAGTAAACAACCTTTAGCCCAGAAAGGTTAAAGACCCTGTGATTGAAGAGGATTGAGTATATATTCTCCTAGTCATAATCTAATCCCAGAGGAGAGTTTCTGAAAGATTTTCCTTGATCTATTACACTAGGGATAATGATGACAGAAAATATGCTTTATAATATCTGACAATTACAGCAACAAAGAATGAATTAAAATAAGCAAAGCTTGTGTTTAAAATCAGTTGAAAATGAGAATAAAAAATAAGCAGAAATGGGAACAGAGAATAATTCCAGCACAACAGTCATTTTGAATATAAGTTGGTTTAAAAAAAAAAAAAAATTAAAAGAAGCTTACCACAAATATTTGCATATGTATTTGATGAATGGGAAATTTATCATATTCCTGCAGGGCATTTATGAAGCCGATAGAAGATAAAACATAAGGGGATTCTTAAATGAAATACTGTATATTGTTTGTTCATATATAATTTTAAAAGTTGTGATGGGAAAAAGGCTATTTTGCTAGTAAAGTATGTTATAAAACTGGTTGGAGGGAGGACTATGTAAAAATTAGAGTTTTGAAAGGCATATCCATGCTCTGATTGTTGTCAAACTTGGAGGAAACTATATGAAAAATTATGAAAGAAGTATTCTTCATGGTAGGCTGTTGCTACCCCCTTGTGGCTTCTCATGAAGTACTGCAGATGCTGTGGAAACTTCCCAGCCATGCTACCTAAGCTGTTGTGACAGCGTTCACAGCCTACGAAACACAGTACTTCAATGAGATTAGTTGCACCTTAGTTTATAAACGATAATGTAGCAAAAGGCTCTGACATTATCTGAGTCACATCGAAGTCATGTGTTCAAATTCCATTTTATTAAGGAACCATCGCTTTTTGCTGTTGCTAAATTACTGGAAACAGGACTAGTTAACATGCACAGGATTGAGATTCTTTGGAGACCTCTGACCGGTCATCTTCTGGAGGTAATTAATTGCTTTTGTCAGTTGTACTAGAACTTAGTTTGTATTAATAAAGATCTTGTGGAAATGCATTTTTAAAGTGTAATTTAAAAAAAAAAAATTAAATTGTATTTACGTATTTTGTTTTTGCAACTTGAGTGCATCACAATTTGAATTTAAAAGTGAATTTATATATTTAAATTCCAGTATTTTAATATCTTTTATTGACTTTGTCTTTATGGTGCCGTCAGTCTTTATAAGTTTTAAACACAGCAATGTTTAAAATGGTCAATTTATTATACTTAATATGTGTGTTATAATTAAGGTAACACAAACAGGTTTCACTTTGGATTCACATAGTACAAATATCTAGGAAGATTTTAAGGCATGTTTTTGTGTCCTTACCAGATTGAAGCCATTAGATTTATTAACAAAGGGTTGGTTTGTTTTAAAAAAGTTTAAGCTAACATTTTGAATGGTCTCTTTTTAAGAGAATACTGTACAAATATAAAAATAGGTGTCATAATCCTATTTCAATTTCTTAAGTATTTTAACTTCAACATGAAATATATGCTCTATCATGGAAAAAGAATCTTGAATTTTGAATTTGAAACTAAAAACAGGTGACGGAATGTAATTGTAAAGTTTTAATTCTCTACACAGATATGTAGAACAGTGAAATGCAAGAACAGGGTGAGACTTAAAGTGGGTAAAGGAGAAAGCTTTTCTTCCTCATTTCCCAGAAAGTATCAGACACTTCCTTAGAACGAGTGCATTATTTCAAACAGTATTAAGGATTGGCCATCCCTAACTTATTTATGGAGATCATCTCCACATAATCTTTTATGTAGGAGAAGAAATTTGGATACTTAGGGGTGTAAAGACTTAAAGCACAGGCACCCCTCTCTTGCCCTTTTTTCCCCTCCAAGACAATAAGGTTCACCATCCACATCTTGAGACTCCGTGTTTTCATCTAGTAAGCAGTCTGTTTCAGTCTGTTATCCATTGTGGGTATTTGCCACTGTTTTGCAGGACATACACAGTCCATTTCAACTTCTTTTAAAGTATTGCCTTATTTCCTTTTAAACCTAAGTCGTCGCGGTACAATAAGGAAGGAGAAAACACCAGCTGCAAATTCAATTAAACACAACCTGAGGGAAGAATTCGTTCCCTGTCTCTGGAACTGATTACCTGGTCAGATTCAGAGAATCATGAAGTAGTTCAAATTCTGTCTTTTTTATATAAGGTAACAAAAATATAAGTAATTCAGGAGAGTAGCTATTTCTTGTCTGCGTTTTTTAACATTAAGCTAGCTCTTCTGCATCGTCCTTTTCAGTTTGGCTAGTGGCTGATAAGGGAATGGTCCACCAACCAAAACCGTCAGCCTTCCTTATGATCCTGCCTTGGACTTTGATTCTGGATTCTCACACCATCTGAGCTAGGGCTGGAAGGGTGGGTGGAAATAATTACGTAGAGGTCAATGAAACTGTAGACTTATTTGTTTGAGGGTAATGTATCAGCTATGGGAGTACAGTTCATACTAGGTATCTATGCAATGGATTTGCACAATGTTTTTAATTTTTCTGTTCTAAAAAAAGCAAGTAGCAAAACTATTAGGTTTAGATAATTAGGAGACAAAGAGAAATGAAGATACACGTCTGAAACTTAAGCTTGAAATAGTGTTCGCTATTGTTTTGTCAAGGTTTTGAAATAATGGAGTGTAAGGCTTATTGTACGTTCACTATGCAGTTACTTTTTGTATTTGAGAATATAGAAGAGCAGACACTTTCTGTTTTGGCTACTGTCATGCTTCCTCACTTGATTATGTTAAACAGTGCGTGAAAGATGAAACTTTGAATTTTATAGTAGCTTAAGGCTAAGTTAAATCTGAAACTTCCAGGCATTCATTGAAGAGTTGCTTGGTGCTTTTTAATCAATCATTATCTGAATTAGCAGTATATTAATTTTGGAAAATGTATTGGCTTGAACTGCTCTGGTTTTCATTATGTTTCCTTCTGTGTCTTTCACTGCTTCCTATTGCTTCCTTATTCAGAAGGTATGTCTGTCCAAAAGATAAAGATTTTTTTTACTATTAAACCTAACTTTATCATCTAGAGATTTATGGTATTGTTGTAAAAAAAAAAATTATAATATTGTATGTAAATTCTAACAGAATTAAAATATCCTTTTTTTATATATATTACATACATTAAAATCTTGGTTAAATAAAAGTGACTTTAAACAAAACATTGCTGTGTTTTCAGGTCTGTCAGCATCCAAACTCCAGAATGAGAGAATGGGGAGCAGAAGCTTTAACTTCTCTCATTAAAGCAGGACTGACATTCAGCCATGATCCTCCATTATCTCAAAATCAGGTAAAGTTTAAGAGCAGCTGCTTTTCTCCTTTTCTGGAACTTAAATTGAACATGAAATCAAAATCTTCCCTAGAGGAAGTTTTCTACAGTTCAATGAAAAGGAGGCATTCATAAAGCAACTTTACTATTGAGTTTATAAAGCCTACAGCTGTAACATTCAGATGTAACTATTGAGAATCACCTCATGCATTCTAATGAACTACCCTCCTTCCTTTTTCAAATGCATAACAAAGACTGGTGATGCTTGCATATTATGTCCATTTGTTAGAACAAATTATGGATCACCCTCATGAGTGCAAAAGAATTCCAGAATGTTTAGAAGTATATATGTGATGTGGTGGCAAGTGAAAAATAAATTGCCTAACCTTCTAAATCACAGCTATTCAATCCATTATTAATAAAATATTCTAGTATTTTTACTGAGGTTCAATGGATAGTTTTTTCAAGGTCTCTTTAGTAGGAAGCTGAGTCTAGCCCTGCTGGGTGAGCGTAAAGTTGCATGGCGGTTTTTAGGGAACTGTGACAGCATGTTGTAGCTACTTCCTGAGAGACCTGGAGAATGGGGGGGTGGGGGGGGGGGAAAAGCTGAGATCCTTTTAAACAGTTTTTTAGAAAGGCCAGTCTGACACTGAGTTTGAACATTTAGTGAATGAGTTACTGAAATAATTTAATGAATCTTCAATTGGTATTGTATGTTTTCACTTACTATACATAAAAATAATTAAGGATCGGTTAAATTTTAGCATCCTTAATATGCTTTATTGTTTACTTTTAGAGACTGCAGTTGCTTTTACTGAATCCACTAAAGGAACTGTCAAACATTAGTCATCCTGATATCAGGATCAAGCAGTTGGAGTGCGTGCTACAGATTTTGCAAAGTCAGGGTGACAGCTTAGGACCTGGTTGGCCATTGGTGCTTGGAGTCATGGGGGCAATCCGAAGTGATCAGGGGTAAGTGATGGAAATAATCATGTAAGATAAGAACAGTAGAAAGAACTCTGCTTTTATTTTCTTACTTTAATAATCACTTCGATAATAGCCATAATTTTCATTGTCATTTTTAGCTTATGAACAATTTTACTCAACAAAAAAACAGTTTTTAATTTTTCCTGTAGCACACTTTTATTTTATTGAATTAATCTTTCAGAAGACCAGAGTATGATTCCACTGTACCCTCTCCTGTGGTCAGCATGCAGTATACACTGAGGAGTACTCCTTGTGCCAATTCATTTGATCTTAACCATATGCTGGACACATCTCTGGTGCTTGCAGATAATTCTTTGTGACTGAGCTGTTGCTCACAGTTCCTCTGTTTTTTCTTTTTCTTCTTAAATCTTTGGGTAGTCTCTAGTGTGCCTCATCTTCTGAACGCTCTCTCTTTTTGTTGAAGTCTTCCTCCCTAAATGGCTGCTGGTTGCACAAGGATGGAAGATATTTACTTGCTGTGGGTGAATCCCTTGACTGACTGAGACAGCTGACTCTGTTGCCAACAGAGGGCGAATGTTACTGGTCTGGTCCTCTTGTCCACAAGGGAAAGTGAGAGGTGAAGTTGCAAGGAGTTTTTTTGAAATGAGCAGTGAAATGAACATCTGGCCCTGGAACTGTAAGCACCAAGAACTATACCCACACACTTAGACCATATTATTCCTTCTTTGGTGCTAGTCAAGACTAGCACCAGGATAGCTCAGCAAGTAACTCTATCAGAAGAATTCACCTTGGCCTATCTCTCCTTTTGCCCCAGGCTTCTGTCTTCTGGCCATATGAAGACCTCCTAAAGCCCCCACAAATGCTTGAAGGGTTTTGGTCTTGTACCCGCATTGCTTGCTCTGGCAATAGTACTCACCAAAATCCCCAAAGATGTCGGCATTTTTGGTTGTGAGCATCCTCTTTTTGGTAACCATGCTTCCTTTGGTACCTGCTGTTTCCACGCTTGGTGCAATCTGTTCTGTGGTTCCTACATGCCTTTTGATTTTCACTGTAGTTGTTGATGGATGAGAACCAACACAGATTCCTTCTCAAGACAGTCTTCAGATCCTTTTACATCTCAAACCCATACCTCACTGGCAGATATCTCAAGATGTTCATAAGATCTTGTGTTATATCTTAGTCTCCCCCTATAAAGCATATAGAATAATCTATTTTTCTTCAACTACATAGCACTGTTTGTCCACATCATACCAACTACAGTAGGAAAAAAAATTAAGCAAGCCTCCTTTTCCTTGGGAAGCAACTGAATTTCTTGCCTCACTTACAGCTGTGAGCACAAGATGCAGGCACTATTATCATACTTTAAATATAAACTTATTGACCATGAGACTTTCTTCACAAGTATCGTCCCTCTGGTCAGTGAACATCCTGGATTCCAGGACAGAAATCCATTTACCTTCCAGGAGAACTTCTTGCCAGGCTGCTGAAAATGCAGAAGATGCCATTTTGAGAGCCAGTGATACTTGGGTCACTTCTTGATTGTACGGTACTAGCCTGCCAAACAAAAAGAATTCTTTCTTTGAAGAATTTTTCAATGGGATGCCCCTGTTTATTTTAGGGATAGATAAAGCCCTATATGATCTTAAGTTTTCAAGCTAAGCTTAAGTTTCTTGCATTTATATTTACCTTTTTGGTGGCCACCTATAACATTAAGGACACTTTTACATTTTGAAGAGCTGTATTGCTGTTGCCACTTGCATGAAGGACTTTGAAACCTTTCTCTAAAGACATAGTAGTGTGGGACATTAATTGGGAAGTGAACTGTTTTGAATTTGTTCTAGTGGCTTCGCATTTGAAGATTCGAAAGAGAGGTTACTTTGGAACTTTGTAGTGGACAGGGAACTGCAGCAGTTTTGGGTGTGTTTCACTTTATAGACTCCTGTAACGAATGTGGGGGAAAGTAGTGTGTGAGCATTTCCTCCATCAGTATAGCAATGATAAATCCTTTGATCTTTTGTGGTAGGATGGATGTCTCTCTGCAGTATGCATCATATCAAAGAATTATTAGTTATACCATTACTGTCCATGTGAAATTTCTTGTGCATTTCTCTGGCTTCCATATCATGTTGGCTGTTACAATACAGTGGAAATGGCCCACCTATGATTTTCATTTGGAATTAATTGAAAAAATTATGATTTTATTTAGGATTTTGAAATATGTAACTGACATATCTGTATTCTGAATTTTTTCCTGGGATATATATTCTGAAAGACACTAAGTTTCTGTATTACAAACCTTTGGGATTTTTTCTTTTGTACATTAAACATTAAGCGTTAAAAAAAAAACCTACAGTGAAATTTAAATGCAGCTTCCCTATTTGGTATTATCTACACTCCACCACTCCTTTTGATTCCTTCATTTTGTCTCTCACTAAGCAAGGTTTTAGTTATAGATGACCTTGCTGCTTCTGAGAGCTCCTTCTCACAAACCTTTTCCATACTACATTTTTACTTTATGTTTGTATTCAGAATTTAATTCTGAAGGCAAAGTATTTATTAAAGATCTATTTAATGGCAGATATTTTGAAAATATTTTGTCTAACATAATATAGTATTGAAGCAAGTAAGACTACCATTATGTTAGCATACATCTTCTCTAATAAATAAAAACACGTTTTGCCCACCTGTTTGGCATACTTTAAGTAATTTGTAACTGCTGATAAAATTGTTCAGTACAGCTTACCCTCTGGAAGATTATCATGCTCAAACTTAAGCTTTGTTTTGTCTGCTATGGCTTTTTTAGAATGTTTTAGCTGACACATTTGAACTAACAAGTTCTAGAACTCTAGAACAGAGAAGTGGACTTTACTATATAAAACTAGCTGAGGACCACTGGAGAGTCTAAACTTCAACTTCACTGGCTAGTTAACATGGGCTAAAATACTTCATCAGAATTTGAAGCTTCAACTTAATGTTATATTTCCAAAAACCCTCCAGTTGAACCATTTAAAATGTTGCAAATTCATCTCAAAAACATTTTTTTTCCTTTTTTTAAATAATGCTATCTCCTGAGGTATTATATTCAAAACATTCCTGTGCTCTTGAAGAAATTTGAAATGAGTGTGTGTGTGTGTTTTGTTTTTGTTTTGTTTTTTTAAGAGAGTCCTTAATACGGACTGCATTCCAGTGTCTTCAGTTGGTTGTGACAGACTTTCTTCCAACAATGCCATGTACTTGTCTACAGATAGTTGTTGAAGTTGCAGGAAGCTTTGGACTTCACAATCAAGAGCTAAATATTAGCTTAACTTCAATTGGTTTGTTGGTGAGTTTTATATTAACCTACAGTGATGCTGCTTGTGGCTTTCATTTTCTTTTCTTTTTTTTTTTTTTAAATGAAAATTAATCTGTAGTCAATTCTACAAATGAAAGCCAAAACCTATTTTTTGAGTTCTTGCTGAACTCCCATGCTGTCATTTGGAATCATATGTAAATTGAGTGAGCACAATTTATCTTTAATCTGTATGACTCCAGGGTTAGGTAAAGAAATAGTATTGTGTTGTAACCATGTTCATCAGTATCTTATTTTTAATACATTGTTTCGCTTTCTAGTACTTCATGTATAACTGGGGCCTAAAAGCAGAGGCTAAGAAAAATACTTTCTGCACCTTGCAGTATTTATGTACTGATCTTCTTCCA